AAATTTAATAAAAACCCACCAGAAACTCTTTCATTAGAATTCTTTCTGTTTTGTGCCATGTCACCTTTTCTAGTAAAACTGTTAACATACCAGACTGTTGGCATTTCTTTCTCCCTTTCGTACTCTGTACATTTAACTGAAAGAAGCCACATAATTGTTTGGACAAAGAGTATTTTCTGACCAAGAGCAGTTGTACTTGGCATGTAGGAAAAGGAGAAATACAAGTGTAGAGAGGGCAAGAGATACAACAATTGCCAGTATAATAAAAGAATAAACAAACCACACCAAGATAACTCAAATGATATATTGTGGAAAGATGAGCCAAATATGTAGTACAATTAAATAAACATTATAAAGCTATGCAATATATCCAGGTATAGTGTTATACGTACAGTACAACACTGGTTTTGTCGTGTCAGGAGTGACTCCTGGTGTGAGAGAATTGGCCGTCTGCGAGGACGTTGCCCAGGGGACGCCTGGATGATTTGATGTTTTTATCATCCTTGTGGGAGGCTTCTCTCATGTCCCCACATGAGGAGCTGGAGCTGATAGAGGGAGCTCATCCGCCTCTCCCCGGATTTGAGCCTGCGACCTGTCGGTCTTCAGTCCTGCCGCCACAGGGGTTAACCCACTGCACCACCGGGGGCTCCTACAACACTGGTATCCATGGGGGAATACACCAAGACCCTCCATTTTTTTCAATTAATTGAACTGTACTTTGAGCCTCTGAGACGACACACAAAGCCATGCAGGGCTCTCAGTACAATTCAATAAATAGAAAAATCAGAAATCAAATATGTGTTAAGTCATGCATACATTTTAAACATATTAATGATTAAGAATGCCTATAATTGGAAAATATACCTAATACAGAAACCGTGTGCAAAATGTGTGCAGAATGAAAAGTGAGCAAATGTATGTGAAGATATATAGTAAAAATGATAATGAATTTCCCAAGTAAGAAGGAAATGCTAGCTCTTTCTTGAGTGAAGGCTGTAATAGTAAGGTTGGTATTATGCATAGCAACTCAAAAAAAATTGAGGCAAGGAGTCTAATCCAAATGCATACACATGTTTTTTCTCCTATCTTCAAGTGACAACATAAAAACATCTGTAAACAGATTGCTAGATCTTTTATAACCAAATTGTTCCTATCACTACGTCATTTGGATCCTAGGATCAGAGAGAATACACCACTTAATCACACCTCCCTTGCTTTTAGACGGCGAGGCTGTGGCCGCTTCCTCCTTTTGCCTTCAGGTAATCTCTTCTGTAGGGTAAATTAGTTGTGGGAATTACCCAGGGGCAGAAACACAACAATTATTTCCAACATTTAAATGTCACATTACTGCAGAACTAACTTCTATTAGCCAATCAGACATGAATCTCCTTTTCTCTCCCACCCTTGTAATGGGAGTGGCAAAATTATTGGATGCTACTGAGTTTCTGCCTGCAGGGCATGTAGGGCCCCTGACAAAACTGTGATCGGCTCTCACCAATGATTGTTGGAAAGATTAGCTGACACACCTCTGTTTAAACAAGCCATGCTCTTTAGTTTCATGACGACTGACTTCTTAAGCCCTAGGTACTAAAAGACACAACTTTGCCTTAACTGTGCCTTCAGACAAATTAAACATCTATATTGCTGTACAACAGTCTCAGTGTGCATTTATCTCTATGTATCTCTGGGTAAATATCTCATTTCTTGTCATGCTTAATAGCTAATATGCTAAACAGTCTAAAGGTACCAGATCCTGACTCATTTTGGAAGCTAAGCAATGCCAGCCCAGTTTAGTACTTATATGAGAGACAGTCAATGAGTATTATATGCTGTAAAACTATATTTCAGGGGAAAGAACTGACAAAACTATCCATGAGTAACCCTGTCTAAGAAAACTCTATGAAAGTAATGGGGACACCGTAAGTGAGCAGGTGACTTGCACATACACATATATGCACCAAGAGGGAAAAGTCCATATGTCATCCCAATTCTCCACAAAGCAATTTAATTTTGTTTGTGGAAGATGCACAGTAGTCGGTGGTTTCAAGTTCCTATTAAGAAGGAAAGAAGCAGCTGATCACGAATGGCCATGTGAATTGGCTTGAGGAGAAGTAAAAGAAAATCTGGTTGTGAGACACATGCCTTGATTGCATCCCATTTGGACTCTGTGTGGGAATGCCTTTAGAAAATGTTTGGAAACTTCAGTGGGTTCCAAATGCTACAGCCAGAACACTGATCGTGGCCATTTATATGGCACATATAATTCCCTTTCAATTTGTTTCCAGGCACAAGTCAAAGTACTGCTCATGCCCTATATAAAGCCATGTATGGCAAGGATCCAAACTATCTGAAGGCCAGTACAAACCTGCAAGAGCTCTAAGATCTACAAAGGAAGGTTCACTCTCTTACCTTTGCCATCATCAAAGGTTTGTTTGGTGATGATACAAGTGAGAGCATTCCCTGTGCCTTCTGAATATTTTTTATTTAATTCAGTGTTTTTTGAAGCTGTCCTAGGTTCCACTTTGGAATAAAAGTGACTTACAATTGGAATAAATAAACATACAAACAAGGTTACAGCTTTTTCTTATCTGTTAAAGAGTCTGACGCAGAATCCCCTCACAAGGTTCCTAGGCAAAATATGCCTGGCCTTATGAGGAAAGGCAGATAAGAAATAAAATTATTATTATTGTTATTATTATTATTGGGTTAATATGAGTTATTATTATTATTATTCTTTGCCTTGAAATCAACTATAGGATTAAAACTTCAAATATAAAAGCTGGAGGATCAAATGTTTTGTCTCATTCTTGGCACTTATATGATTGATATTGATACGGCCTATTTTAAACTCACAGTCAGGGCCACGTTTATTGAGTACTTTATTTAATTTAGAAAGGGTTTTATATGCTGTTTTATGTATGAGGTTTTATTTAAATTGTCAATGTTATTGATTTTATTGTATCTTGTGTATTGTACTGCAGTATCATGTATTTTTGTAAGCCGTTCCGAGCCCCTTTTGGGAGATGGTGACGGGATATAAATAAAGTTTTATTTAATATTTATTTATTTCAACAATGGCATTTCTAAGCCTAGGGTTTTATTAGCAAGGTTTGCCAGTGTCCTTCTCCTTGGCTGAGAGAAGTCAACCTGTCCAATGTTATCTAGTGAATTTCCATGGGAAGAGGGATGTCATCTAGAGTCCAAGGGCGCTTCCATACATGGCTTAAACCTACTTGTGAGCGGGTTTAAGTCCTCATGAGTGTCCAAAAGAAGTGGGCTTTTCCAGGGGTTGTCTCCATTCCAGCGCAGTAAATACTGTGCTGGAATAGGGCCATCCTAAAAAAGCTCTCCCAAAAGCCTTAAAATAAAATAAAAACCAGGTCACCAGGAGACTGCTCCAGCAGCCCTCCTGGTGCATAAAAATGACACAGCAGGAGGTGGAAAGGAGCAATTCCCACCCGCTTCCTGGCATGTCATTTTAACATGCTGGAGAAGACTTATGGTAATTGGGGAAGTTTTTCTTCATTTTAAAGGCTTTGGGGGGTTGTGGAGGGGGTGGGAGCCCTCTTTGTCAGGTTCATGGGGCCCGAAGAAGCGAATTGGGTTATGGGGACAGTCTACAGGACTGCTTCTGCACAGGGCCCATACCCCATTAGAACCAGGCCTTTCAGGAAGGTCTGGATCTAATGGGGTATCTAAATAATTTGGGACAAAGCAGTATTTACCTGCCTTCTCTCAAATTATTCCTCTTTTACCTGGGGCATCATTTGGATACCTCGATACCTGAGGCATCATTTGGTAAAAATCTGACAGGGACTGCATTTTGAGTCCTGTCTGGAATGACCCGAGTCTAGTAAATGACCACAGTTTCTTCACAAACATAGATACACAAGAAAAAAGTTACCAGTGCATCAACTAATGTAGCTTGAATTGTTTTATAATATTCTCAGTCAGACAGCTTGTTAACACCACCAGGCATAGTTAAAATCAACAGAAACAATTTAAAACCATAGCTCAGAAAAGGAGCCATAAGTACATGTGCACAGCAGATCTCAGAAAGATTGTCCTCAATAGTGAAAATTTTAGTTTAAAGATAACTACATATGGTTTTCCGTGTGGCATCCTACAAAGTTGTTCTGTGTTGCCAGCTGACCTTTTAAATTACTGAACCCAGAGTTCTCTGAAAACTTCCTTCTTCGGGGACTCTGTTCCACATTTCACACATGGCAAGATAGATTACGCACAAGAACTCTCCCATTTGCACCCAACCTATGTGTTTATTAAGTGTATGCAAACAGAGAGAGATAGTGTGAGAAGCCTCCAGTTTTTTCTACACATTTCTCTTTCCACATTCTCTGAGTATGTTGTAACGCAGGGAAAGGGAATGTCTATGCCACACAACCTTGCAAAATGAAATCAGTAACAGTTTGCTGTTAGTTCAAAACAAATGTTCTTCCAAAAATATGTTTTCCCACAGCAGCTAGCAATCCTTTTCCAAAAAAGCTTGATACAGCAATATAGAGGTATGATTTTTTTCAAAAACTGTTCAAATGTACAAGAACATCATTCTATTTCCTCAATATTAAAGGGGGATACATTTTTACAAGGTGTATTTAAAAAGATAGACCTGTTTTGAAATGGCTATATCTCTGCAACCATGAACCGTCCATGAATGAAACTCTTATCCCTTGAAAGGCTGAGGCATAGAGTTTCAAAGGATTGCCACTAGATGTTTCTCTCAGTGCACAAACAGCCCCAAGCCTCAGTCATTTGCAAGATGGCAACCTCACAATGTAAAGACTAAATACAATTGTTTTCACTGGGAGAGCAGATGTGGCCTCCACCATAGGTGGCTTATATGGCTCGGCTTATACTCAAGTATAGGCGGTACTAAATATATACCACATATCAACACAGATATAATGTATTTTCATGAGAGTAATTGCCCCAATAATTACCAAACAACACCCCCAGGCTAATTCATACAAAACATGCCTTACTCTAGAACTGAATGAGTAGCTGCCTGTGGGTGGTAACGATAGAGAAGAAGGCACTGGTCAACTCGATAAACTCCACCACCTTTCCGAAGGTGTTCATAAAAGAACAGCAAATCTTCTGGAGTACCCTGTAGCAGAGAATAATTTATTCAAATCAGGAGTTTAAATTAAAATGTTTGAAACCAAAATACCACTGTGCAATTATATACAGAAATGAAAATGATGGCTTAAATGTCACCATTTTAAAAGCACCTGTACAAAATTTGAAATTTGTTCCTGAAAGAGATTCAAACATATTAAGTGCATAAGCTTTTCCTCACTTTTGTTTAAAGTGCTAGCTTGGCTTGGTTGTTTTCTGTTTCAAAACTTACAGGTTTACTGGTTTGATATATAGGGTTTGTTTGTTTTTTATTTTTATGTTTGTTCTTACATTTAGAAAAACTAGGTCACTGTTATGTGGTTTTGAATCTTTATGCATATTCTTGCACTGTATATGACTGAAGCCAGATGTTCTTATGGATGAATCAGACTGGATTTTTTTGAAAAATATGGGAAATAAATTCCAACAACATTCAAAGATATTATTTATTTGCAATAAATCTGGACACTGCTGCCTCCCATCTAAACTGCAGAATTGTTCTCTTGGCTGAGGATTAAATAAAGCTGAACATAGCACAATAAAGGAGATAATACTTGTGGGAGTAACACACCAAAGAGGTACTGACATCCTGCTGTTTCTAAATACAGGGTTTAGCTAAAAAGGAAGAAGGAAAGAAGATAAGACAATGAATTTGAAATCTCCTCATCCTTTCATCTTCCACAGAAATACTACCAAAGGATAAACAAGGCTTGGACCAAGCTTGTTTTTACAAACATTGCTGTGACTGTGTGCCTTCAAGTCCCCTTGACTTGGGTGACCCTAGGCCAAGATTTGTTCAGAATGGGTTTGCTTTAGCCAACCCCTGATTATGAAAAAATGTAACTTGTCCAAGGTCATGCCTGTGTTTCAATGACATAGTGGAGATTTTAAATCTGGTCTCCCAAGTTGTAGTCTTAACACTTAAAACAACACACATTGCTGGCTATTTTGCCTTATTCCTAAAACAATAGAGAAAATATTGTGACAAATGGATTAAGCATACAAATACAAGAGTTGTTACTGGAATGCTGAGTAGAGGGTAGATCACAGCCCAAGAAAAAACAATTCTTGATGTCTTGGTTTTTAGGCCCGTTCCTGGGATTATTTGAGGCACTGATTCAGAAAATTACATTGTTTAGGCTGCATCAGCTCTAGTTTCTTAGATATGGTTTTTCTATAAGCGAGCAGAGAGCAACTGGTAGATGGCATATGTTCTGTTTCTCAAAAACTAGCTCTGATAGGGGAAAACTGATGTCATTTTTGGAACCAGCAGGTCAAATATACCCAGACACAAAGCTAACACTTGAGGCACCAGAATGTGTGTTGGCCCGTGTTATGAAGCAAGGGAGGTAGAATATGGCTGTGGAAGGATAACAATTGCAATCTTACTCATGTTAAACCATATTAGAGTATTTTGCCAAACTAATATAGATATGTCTATTTTAGCCTTCCTCAACCTGGTGGCATTTAAATATATTGGACTGCAATTCTCCTCACCCTTTCTTATCAATCAAGCAGAGCTGTCATACTTGTAGTCCAGTGGTTTTCAATATGGGGTCCCCAGATGTTTTGGCCTTCAACTCCCAGAAATCCTAACAGCTGGTAAACTGGCTGGGATTACTGGGAGTTGTAGGCCAAAACACCTGGGGACCCACAGGTTGACAACCACTGTTGTATTCCAACATATCTGGATGACATCAGGTAAAGGAAGGCTAGCTTATTCTGACTGCTAGTAGAGCTTAATGAAATTAAAAACTTCTCCCCATCAGATGGTACAGATTGATTTCTAGTCCTCTAAGTATAAGGGAATGGAACTTGTAATCTTCTAAATACAAAGTATTTGCTTTACCACGAAGGAACTGTTCACTCTAAAAAATAACAAAACCCAATAACATGCAATTGTTAACTCCTTTAGCTTTTCATATTTTCAACAAGTGCATTCTTCGCTTCTGTCATATTGCTTATTTCCGAGAATATGAAATATAGAACATTGCCACGGAGCAAATGATTTGGCTCTGTGTTAATGATCCAGCAGCTGGGATGCTGCACAAATTTGTCCCAGGGATGCTAAAAAGATGGCATTGCTGGAGTAAAAGCAAATCAGTCAATTTGTACTTAGTGGCTTTAATGGAAAGCTGATTATGGATCTCACCTAAATTGGTGAATTTGGCAGTAATCCAGCCAGGAACTGATCTGTCTGGGTGCCATTTCCTTCATAATGGGGATTCTGCATAACAACAGCTGTGACAAAGGACTGCTTTGATCAACTGAGGGATGTAATCTAATTTAGCTTTTCTCTTAGGTTTTATTGCTGTATCATGGTTAATATCTTCATGTGGCAATTTTGATGCACCTGTGGCATCTTTTCATCTTGACAGTGCCTTGAGCTTTAGCTGAGTGGACCAGGACACTGGAATCATTACACTGGCCTCAGTGCTATTTTCCCCCCTAGAAAACACTGTTTTTGGTCCGGCATTTGGTAATATAGTCTTAGAAGTTGTTGTAAATTATCAATCTGACCAAGTTTTACAATTTCCTTCCAGTTTTATTTCATCAATGCACAGTCTGATAAAATAGCTGGGGAATTTATTAGAAAAGAAGTGATCAATCAAGTACGCAGTCAAAACAAAGTACAATTGTTAGAAAAAGAAGTCATGAGTGTCTTGAACAGTGTGGCAAAGTACAGCCACAGACTGCCTCCCAAGGAACTTCCATTGTATTTCATCAATGTCAAAAATACACCTGTCTGCACCCCCTCCAAAAGCAAAAAACAAAACTTCAGATTTCCAGTTGCTTTTTAATAAGGCTGTTGTGAAACAGATGGCAGAGCCCATTCTGAAAACATCCACATCAGCACAGCACGGACCATGCATTTCATCATAAAAACAAGAAGGAACAGTGCCTGTTCTGGAAGAGAATTAGAAGTATTCCTTCACAGTATTAAACCAACAACAAAAAGGGGGAGAGAAATGTGTAGCTGCCTAAATTTCTAAGATCATTCCAGGATGAGTGACTCAATGGCAATGGAATGATGGATGCTTATAGGGCCATAAAACAATTTTGAAATCCTTCTCTCAAATCCTGCCCCCTTTATTTCATGTAGCTGAAGGTGATGACGGGACATCTGTTTGAATTTAGCAATACTGCAGCCACATGAGAATATAATACAACCCATATAATTGTCAAATGTTCTCAAAATATTGTTTGTTTCTCATCCTATTCTCTGTTGCCAAGCTGTTCCAAATGGTGCTACGTAAATAAATAACTGATTTACACAGCAGGGGATTAAGAATTGTGGCTTCATGCTGAAAATGAATAATAGGGCATGGCAGGTGGCTAGAGAAATATTTCAATGGGCAGGAGCAAATTGTTTATTTATGGGGGCAGCAGAGAGAAATAGGGAGTTGGGCTATTCCATCAGCTGCATTGAAAGACCTTTTGCTCCATTGGGCTCTTCCTCTTCTTGAGCAATTTCATGGTGGTCATTGGAAGAACTGACTTTAAGGAATTGTGGTTGAAGAGTTGGCTCTCTCTTCACTACTCCCCAAATACCCAGGAGAGGAGGCGGGATATAAATAAAACAACTTCTTCTTCTTCTTTCTTTCTTTCTTTCTTTCTTTCTTTCTTTCAGATTGCAAGCTCGCAAGCATAGACAAGACTTGCTTTTATAACTATGAAAACATTATGTGGCTTCACTATTTACAAATTAAAGAGTATTATAAACAAGATAAAAAAGAAAATAATAACAACGATATATAACAAATTACTAATTTGGGCAACGGAAAAGGAGCAGGTCAAATCCTGTATGATTAAATGGGCAGAGAATTTAAGAAGGCCAATTCAATTTAGGGAGTGGGAACAAATGTGGAACAAGAAATTAAAATACACGCATGCAATAGACTTGAAAGAAAACTTGATTAAAATGTTCCATAAGTGGTATATCACTCCAAAAAAAAACTAAGCCACATGTATAAAAATATTTCAGACAAGTGTTGGAAAGGATGTGAGCAGATAGGTACATTCCATCACATGTGGTGGACGTGCAAGGAAACATCGAAGTATTGGTCATTGATTCATGAGGAGACAAAAAAATCCTGAAAAGGAAGTTTAAAAAGAAACCAGAGTACTATTTACTAGGCTTTATCGACTTGGAATTACAACTGGGTGAAAATGAGGATAAACTATTTACATTTATCACTACAGCGCCAAGAATTACTTTTGCAAAATTTTGGAAACAGGAACAAATCCCCGCCATTGATGAGTGGCTGGATAAGGTAAGAGAAATAAGAGACATGGATGAATTAACTTTTCTATTAAAGAAAAATACCGGGAAATCACTAAAAAGAACAGATTGGGACCTTTTCTATGACTATGAAAAAAATAGAAGAATGAAAGATATAAAGAAGATGTAAGTAAAATAACGAAGTAAAGGACAAGAAGAACCTGAGGTTTGAATGGAAGTCAACTCCCTTCCCCCCCCCATCTTGATTTTTTCTCTTTTACCCCTTTCCTACTTTGCTATCTTCTTTTGAATATTCCCCCTCTTTCCATGTATGCATACTTAAATTTAATAATAAAAAGATTTTTAAAAAGACTTGCTTTTATTGATCATACACGAAATTTTGTCATCTAATAGAAATGGAGGGTCAAATAAAACATGCATTTGTTTATTTAAAGCAATCTTCTAAACCGTATTCAACTATCAGTTTAAAAGATCTGCAAAAAGTATACAAGGATGAAACTAAGTATTGTATACATTCACAAAATATTATGACACTTTAGGTTCTAGCAAAGCTGTTTAAATGTGGATTTCACCAGTAGTACAAAATTCACAACACTACTTTGATGTTAACGTTTGGGGGGGGGGTGTGTGTGTGTCAGGAGCAACTTGAGAAACTGCAGTCACTTCTGGTGTGAGAGAATTTACCGTCTGCAAGGACGCTGCTCAGGGGATGCCCAGATGTTTGATATTTCACCATCCTTGTGGGA